GTGATGACATTTAATTCTAACTCACTAGTGTTAGATTTTTTGCACCTCTAGCTCCAAGCCTTAAGTTCAGCTGAATCATATAGTTGAACTTGACAGCCAGTATTTCTCCCAATCTATATGAAATGGATCATTTTGTTGATCATGAAAGAATCCCTCAAAAGCAGCAAAGCATATGCATTGAGATTGAAAATGAAAAGGCTTTCAACATGAGAGATGGAGAAGTTCCTGACATGAGCCATTTTAAAAAGGTTATGCCAGATATGCATCTTTGGGGGGTGTTCAGAAATCCAAAAGAGCAGAGAAATTACTCTACTTATGAAGAGATATCGAGGAGGAAGTCATAGAGTCTTCTTTAAGGATGAAGAAGCAAATCAGACTCAACAAGCAAAATTCCTTCTCACTCTCCCCCCAACCCCCCCCCCAAAAAAAAACACAAACAAACAAAACAAAACCATGTGTCAAACGTAAACAAGAAGAGAACCTTTACAAAAGACTTGTCCAGTAAACCACATCCCACACACCTTTTATTGCTTTTTCCTTAAAAAAAGTTGCCTGGTATGTCGCGATGGACTGGCAGACCCAGAATAAGTAACCTTCCAGAACATTCACACTACTTTTCCTTTTGCCTTTATCCTACTTCCATTCTGTGCCTCCCTGGCCAATAAACTACTGGCCTCATAAAGCCACTACTACAAGCTTTTCCCACTTCAAGAACCAATCTTTGTTTGACTAAATTGGCTTCCAATAAGCAAAATCTTTATCTAGTTAACTAGTCTGATATTAGACCTCGTTCTAGACGGTAAAGAGTATCCAGTGCTTTGCAGTGAAGCAAACTGTTTTCTTTCCACATATATTTCTAGCACATCTCATCAACACCAAAACAACAAATGATAGTACAATGCTGGGAACCAAACTTGAGTAATATCAATTTTCATGACACGTTTGTGGCAGGACACCAAAATAATCAAGCTTTGAAACCGTTTGACTACAGCTGTCTTTCCCCTCCTAGCCAGCTGAAGAAGCGAACTGGATAGTTTCACACTAGTGACTATGTGATAAAGCCACTCGAAATTTCTAACTTATTCCAGATTCTGTTGAATTCACAAGGCAAACTTGAGAACAGTCCATGTAGGTCCTTGACTACAAACACCAAACGTTGATGAGTGCTCTTGGGAGCTTTGAATTGGCATATCTTTCTATCACCTGAAATAATTAAATGGTCGCTAGGAAGTTAAGAGACCATGCACCAGGTTAAGCACATTCTTTCTGGCTTTTAGTGGCACCAATTAAAAAGACAAGGCCCGTTCCTATGGAGAGTCTATTTTATTAAAAACGAACAAGGTTAACTAGAAACTTCTTCCTGCCGACTATGCCCATTACTGCTTGAAAAGCACCATCAACTTCAAAGAACTTTTGCTGTCCTATCCTATAGCATCTACTGTAGTGTGCATCTGACTTCAACAATAAACACTTGGATCTTTCAAAAAACGTCCAGCATTCTGGGTACAGAAAAATCAGTGTCTGGCATTCAATAACAAAGAAAGTGCACCAATTTACTCCAGCTAACATAAGAGACACAGCAGAACAAAATCTGAATGAACAGAGCTCTCCGTAACAGTGGTTGACAGGGAGCCAAGAAGCAGAAGACAAAAAGGATACCCCAGGAAAGTCAGACTTACCGGATCTCTGTAAACGGGAAACACTGGAATCTCCTCGCGATTGACAAACATAGCCTCTGCAACTACCGGTCCTGTTAAAAATGAATTGTCATCATAATTGAAATTCAAAGACAACATATGTCATTCGTTACTCGGGCATTTACAGTTGAAACTTAAACAGAAGAAGAAGAAGAAGAAGAAGATAGTAAAACTAAAATTCCGCAGAACAGCTGGAGTAATTTCTCTCCCCAGCTCCTGCTTCAAACAAATTCAAAATGTAGGGACCAGGCAATCTTCGCATTGCCCGATTATGACCAGACAGATAATCCTCTAAAAGCTCCCGCCGCAAATGATTAGGAAAAAGCCATCTTGAACTGGACAAAATGTTGCACTATCAAATATTCACCAGCAAACATGCATTTCCTTACTAGATAAGCCTACCTCATTCTTTCCCCAGTAACAAAACGAAGTCCCATCTCAAGCATCAAAAACTCCAAATCCTCACTATTACCAACGAGACATCGATCACCATACCGAGAACCAACCAACAGAACTCGCTTCGCGAACCGACACCGAAACACGCGCCCTCCCATTCGGACAAGAATCGGAATGGCGCCAACACTCACCGGGCTTGACGACGTGCCGGTTGGTGAGGATGATCCCGCGCTGCTTGTCGACGACGAACCCGGTGGCGTAGCTGGCGCCCGCCGCCTCCGTGTCGAAGGCGCGGCAGGCGGTGGTCCGCAGCACGACCACGGCGGGGACCACCCTGTTGAGGGCCCTCCGCCAGTCCTCCGCGGTGGCGGCGCTCTCCCGGAAGGGCCCCGCCCCGTCGATCTCCATCCCCAGCTCGCCGTCCTTCATGGCGGTGTCGATCCCCATCGCCGTCGCCGAATCCGAGCCCAATCTCTCCAGCGAATCCCCCATCGTGTACCGGCCCGGCTCTCTCCCGCCGAATCTCGATGCGAATCGGCGGCTCGGAATCCGGTGACGTGTCCGATCGGGGACTCTCTCTCGCAAACTTTCTCGGGAAAGCGAGCGAGAAAGCGAGCGAGAAAGTGGAGGCCAGCAGTGATGAAGAAGAAGATGATGATGGCCAATGGAAAATGGAAAAATTAAACAAATATTATTGCAGTGACTAAGGAAAAAAAATTTATTAGCTTTTTTTCCAAAAAAAAACTTCGACCAAAAAAAAAGGAAAAAAATTATTTTATTAATTAGCTTTTTTTTTCCCCTTTGGCCCTGATTTCTTTCCAAATTAATATGGTAAAAAAAAAAAGGTCGAGTTAAACCGGGAGCGGTTCGGGCCGAGCCACTTGTTAACATGACCCCCCGAGAAAATGCGGGAGCATGAAGAGAGACAGGGACCGGGTTCGCGCGTCGATAATTAAATTTTATTTTCCGGAACTAATTAAGCTGCTAATTTTGGCCCCCCAAAAGAAAAGCATGCTAATTATAAAAAAATTATTAAATGGAGTATGGTTATCTGCATGGGCATGGCGACATTACAGCCTGTAATTCGGCCAAATGACAACATAATGAAGTAATATGGCGGAGGTAAAGAAAAAAAAAAGGCAAGCCTTTGATATTATTATTATTATTATTATTATATAAAATGCCATGATACACGACAGTTTCATTGATCCTGTAACATTCGATTCTTTCCCGTCACGATCAAGTTTCCTCCTAGAAGGTGCATCTTCGCATGCCTTTGACCCGATTTTCATTCAGATTTCTAGAAAACTTTTTTGAGTGTATCGGCGTTTCGGTTGCCTGCCCCACCTCCCGAAACCGTGCGGACTCCGGCCCAAAGCGAACAGTATCATTACAAGTAGACCCTGGGCATCACAGTAGTATTAGAGCCAAGCCCAGCCAGAAGTGTGTGGCTCAAGGATGAACCGGGTGGAAGTTGGTGGGCCTGTAACGACTCGATCCTGTGAGAGCGAAGAGCGGTCGCCGGGGCCAGAAAGCCTAGACAAGGTGTGGCTCTGTGTGGCTCAAGGATGAACCAGGCAAAAGTTGGTGGACTGTAACGATCCGATCTAACGAGAGCTGAAAGTGATCCCTAGGGCCAGAGAGCATGCACAAGGTGTGGCTCTTGGCAGGCTTTGAGGATGGCGAAGGGGATAAGAATGAACCGAATTCCACATCGCTTGAGTGTGGTGAGGTGAAGTGCCATATATGTGGCGGCACTTGTCCTAACTTGTAACGAACCCCTTTTTGGGCGAAGATCGGAAGAACAAAACCGTGCGAGCTTCGGCCTAAAGCGAACAATATCGTTATGAGTGGGTCCCTGGCATCACAAACGTCGTGAAGGAATGTTACCAAGCGTGAGACTTCGTCTCAGAGTAGCCCGGGACTTCATCTCGAATGACCCCCATCTCAACCCCTATCTCTAGGACTTCGTCTCAGAGAAGCCCGAAAAAACAAAACCGTGCGGGCTCCGGCCCAAAGCGTACAGTTTCGTTACGAGTGGGCGTTGGGCGTCACAGTGGTATTAGAGCCAAGCCCAGCCGAAAGTGTGTGGCTCAAGGATGAATCGGGCGGAAGTTTGTGGGCCTATATAACAACCCGATCCTACGAGAGTGAAGAGCGGTCGCTGGGGCCAGATTTCTAGAAAACTTTTTTGTATCTTATACAAATTATATTAAATGATTACTCGATGCATATGAAATTCACTAAACACATCCGACTATCATTAATTAGAGGGAAAAATCTCAAATAATGACCTAATGTGGATGTGCTTTTTTAAAAAGAGAGTCTAGAATAGACGTTGTCTCAAATAATGACTTAAAGTGGCCGTTTAATTTCAAATAAGGATCTGAAGTGGTCATTTAATCTTGAAGAAGGTTCTGAGTTTATCAGCGGGTTCTCGAGATGTGGCGGGTTCAAGCAGATGGGTTGGCCTGGATTGGTGTTCCGGGTCGGTAGAGACTCTCGAATCAGCATAGGACAAGGACCAATATCTCTCAAGGAGGCCATAGTTGAGAGATGTGGATGCGGTCATTGAAGAGCGATTGAGAAGGGTTTCGGGTAATTTGAGAAGAAGAAGAGGAGGAAACTCTTATTTGAGACTAAATTGAACTCTTATTTGAGACTAAATTGTTGCTTTAAATATTTATTTGAGACAACGTTTATTATTACGGGCCCTCATTTATGAAGACTCATCCACTTCGGGTCATTACTAAAATTTTCCCTTGATCGGATGAACAAGTTATTGACCGCGTAAAACTTTTTTATCTCTCCTATGTAAAAAACAATCAACCATTCCAAGAATTTAACAGTCGAGCTTTTTGTTATATGAAAAAGTTTAACCATTACGATGTTAATTTACTAGCGCGATAGAGGAAGGAAAATTAGTTTCGATGCAACTCATATAAGTAAATAGTAGCATTGTAGTCCACGAAACGAGTAAATAAATTTGGATCCATACTAAAGTTCACCTAAAAAGCTCACTTCTCGATTCATGCTCAAGAGAAAATAACGAGACGGAGATGAAACTATAGCTCATGAAGCGGAGGAACACAGGACAGGATCACTTGACTTGCAGACTCTTTGGTCCTCATGGGTGGTTGTTCATGGAGATGGTCCGGAAGAGGGAATTGCTCTTGGCGATGTCCCGGAGCGGCTTGTCCGTGAACCGGATCAGATTGTACGCGAACGCCCCGGCCAGGGCTCCGACGATCGGCCCGACTACGTACAACCAGATTCCTTTGTAGGTGTGCTTCACGATGGCCGGTCCAAGGCTCCTCGCCGGGTTCATCGAGGCTCCCGATACTTGCCTGCGAAACGAATCGTATCGAGCTTTGCTGATTTCGAGGGAAATGGATAATAGAGTAATGGGTCGAGAACAGATCGTAATTATGGACACCCGGCAACGCAACTAAAATGAGATTGGATCGGACACTCACCCTCCGACGAAGACGTTCAACATTATCGTCATCCCGACCGCGATTCCTCCAAGTTCTCCTCTCTGTTAAAACAGCAACATACGTGAGTCTTTCAACCCCCCAAATTACGTTACAAAAGGCTAAACCATTTATAAGATCAGCTGATGCAAGAACGGGGGCTCGTAAAACCAGTTTGCATTAGAGATGCAGACCGCTCTATTGTCGGTCGTGACGCCGGAGATGACAAACATCAAGAGGAAGGTGATGATGATCTCGACCAATAGAGACTGGCCGCTGGATCCGGCCGGTACCGTCCCGAAGAAGGTGCTAGGGGTCACGTCCAAGATTCCGGCGAGGGTGGCGCTCGCGAGTATCGATCCCATGAGCTGGGCTGCTATGTACAGTGGAACCTATAACAGTAACACCATGTTTAGTTTCGAGGTTATGAGAATCTGCTGCTATTTTTATGGGGAAAACAAAGATAGTCCAGTTCCAGTAAGACGATACTTGTGTCCATGCACACGAGCTATCAGTTTTGTCAATGTAATGATGAACAAATGTTTCACTTTCTAACCCGGCATTGGAAAAAAACAGTGAATTTTTTTTTAATAACATTCCAACTTATATTGAGGCTCCATTTGTTTCACGGAAAATGAATGATTTGAAAAATATATTCCTAATATTGATCGCTTGAAGTACTTAGTTTATGAAAAATGTGTTCATTACCAACAACAATTTATGTCTAAATATTTTCGTGGACGTTCATTTATTTTTATAAGAGATATAAGTAATCATTTTTAAATCATTCATGTCTCTCAAAACTGAAGGAGCCTGAGTGTATAACATGTTCTATTGACGAGATGCAACTCAATAACTCTTCTATTTCTAGGCATGTCATGATTTAATTCCCTTAAAAAGTATAGACTTTAACTCAAGTCATAATTCCAGCCCAAACTTTTTTTTGTCTCGTATAAAAAGTATAGTCGTTCCTGTGACATCTTTTGGAAACTTTTGGATATCCGAAAGTTATTGTTTTTTATGAAAAAAAAGGGTTTAGGTCAGAATTGAGAGTTTAAGCTAAAAAAAAATTAGGGAAAAAAAAAACGTTTGGGCCCTTTAGACTCTTTTTAAGGGAATTACATTTTGTTTTAGATTTGTAACACTTAATGAAATCAAAATCTAATATGTTGCCCCATCTCTCTTGCAGTTCATGGTCATAATGAGCTTTTAATTCAACTCCATAAACACAAAAATTGAACTATATGGCCACTCACCTCCCAAAACGGAAACCGCCGGAACGCGGCGAGAGTGATGGTGACGGCCGGATTGAAGTGGGCGCCGGAGATGTGCCCGACGGTGTAGATCATGACCATGACGATGAGTCCCCACGTCACGCATATCCCCGGGAACGTCACCTGCCCATAGATCTTGTTCACAGCGACGGAGCCGCAGCCGGCGAAGATGACGAAGTAGGTGCCGATCACCTCAGCTATCAACTTTTTTACATGCATGATCGAATTTCATAAGCCATGCAAATCGTTAGTGCTACTGCTAGTGCTGCCACGAACACATTATTGATAGAGTGCATACCTTTTGCGCGGTGGTGACGACCAGAGGCGACGAGCAGAAGCCGATGAATCCGCCGGACGTGGGCGTGGCGGAGGCGGCTACCCCGTCCTCCATGCTCGAAATCTCCGATTCTTGAACTTCGTCGACCCTCGCCGCCATAGACAGAGAATGTGTTATGGAGAGAGCTTTGAGAAGAGAGGGAGGCGAAGAGATGAGATGAGATGGAGGTATGAATCAGGTAGTTTTGCAAAGGAGATAGTTTGAGAGAGAATATCGTGGATTTAGTGTTGGTCATGGGTAAGTGGGAGCTTAAATTTAGCTAAGTGAGGTTATCCGGATAGGGAAATTGTTTTATTCTTTTTAAGCAAACGTTATCTACTCAAAATTAGTATCTATCTTAATAGGGATAATTACACAAATGGTCCATAAACTTTGATCAAATGCTCAATATGGTCCCTAAACTTTTAATTTGTTCAATTTTAGTCCCTAAACTTTAATACAATGTGCGATGTGATCCCTGAACTTTTAATTTGTTTAATGTGGTCCTTGAACTTTTTATAAATGTCCAATGTCATTATTCCATTCATTCAAGCTCAGGGACAATATTGAACATTTGCATATAATCCAGAGACTAAATTGAACATGTACAAAAAAATTAAGGGACCACATTGAATATATTAAAAGTTAAGAGACAGTATTGCACATTGGATTAAAGTTTATGAACTACATTGAATAAATTAAACATCCATGGACCACGTTGCACATTAGGTCAATGTTGAAGAACTATTTATGTCATTTTCCCATCTAAATAATTATCTCTACATTTATCTTTAAAATATGTTCAAAATGTTATTTTTTTGTTTTTGTTTTTTAAGTTTGCCCGTAAAATTTCATAGAAACGCATTATCTATTAAATTTTAATTAAAAAAATGACGAATTTCATTAATCAATTTTGTTTATGAAGTTCCTTAAAATCATCATTTAAACGTTTCCCTGCCGCACCCAAGATGAAAATTTGCCCTACTAACTCGTGACACAAGGGATTGATTGCCTTGACCACTTTCTTCACTTATCCCCTTCTCTTGATTTGCAAACGTTATCTGATTCATGTTGATGTAATCCCAATTTCTTGAAAATGAAATCATCATAATTGGTTAAATGAACAAATCCCATAATACAGACCAAAAAAAAAAAAAACGAATCCCATAATATAAAAACGACAGTTGATGTTGTCCTTTCAGCCCCTCTCGTTCGGATGTGCATCATGCTTGTAAGGTGTACCAATTTAAAGGAGTGAAATCATTAAATTGAAAAAATATTTTGAGTATCTGCATTATCAATGAATGCTATCACCTTCCTAAAAGGTGCTACTTTCCTTTTTACCTTATGCTATTTTTAGCGTTATATGAATTATGGTTAGTCAAGATTTCAGGTTGGAGAGTTCCTTTAGTGTGTTATGGGTAGGATTAGACTAAGCTTCCACAAATAAATGGATGTCTCGATCAATTAGATACGGAAGAAATCTCATTATGAGGACAAGGACACGCTGTCGAAGTAGGTTAAGGTTTGAGTAACACATCAATTAAACGAGGATCGTTTACGATTTTAGCATTGTAAGAGTTATGAATGTGACTAATGGTGGCATGTGGTATGATTTTCATGAGCAAATTGTCGTTCTTTTAATTTATATTTTCGTCTCACTTGTGATTCATGTATCATTCATGTAGGTCTCACAGTGACGGATAAGGTGATATAAGTCGAGCAGCATAAAAGGAGGAATAGGTCAAAAGCCGCATGCCCACAAAATAACGGTCTCCCTCGTTAAGTAGTGCGAATTCACGTCATAGACACAGGGTTGTGGATGAAATTACTTGAAGGGATTGATTCTAGGGGGAGGAAGGTGCTCATTCTCACCAAGATCTCTCACTAGCATGATATCTCTCCTCATAATGAAATTGTGATACATTGATTTAGCTCCTAGTGTTGTTGATTTTGACAGCAATTGGCTCAGAACAATATGGACAACTCCCGAAGAGAACATCGAATGACCTGCAGCAACAACACACGAACAACAGATCAAATTCACTGCAAGCAAAACAAGGAGAGGAGATGGACAGGCAACCAGAGACAGAAAGGTCCAGGAGGATAGCACATTGTCCATAGAAGCAAAATATTGGAGGTCATTTGGTATTGGGTAGTGCAGTGAACACATCATGGTGGAGGGCCATCATGGACAATTAAAAGGCACGATAGTCTAAATTTTTCAAGGACTCGGATCAAAATAACTTGTGACAGACTTGTGACTGTGTAGCAGTTATGAAAGCTATATCCTAATGGTAGGCCTTCTGCAAGTACCCAGTTCAAAAAAAATAAAACCGACCACTGAATTGTGCAGACTTGTGACTTTTCAACGGATGATTTGTTCAGATTTGTAACAGTTTAGTGAGCAAAGCCAAAATATGCAGGTGTAATGCTCAAATCTTCCTTGCGTCCTCCAAAAGCAAACCATAATCACTTTTTGAAATTACATGTGGTGCATAATTCAAAAAGTAGTGTAGACTACTGCAGCAGAAGTGTTGTGTACTTGTTCAACCTCTGGTATTCAAAGAGCTTACTATGAGGGGAAGGTCAGAAGCAGCCTCCAAGAGTATAGGCCAAACTGCTTACTATCATCCCTACATGAACTAAAATGGTTGGAGCTATTTTCATGCAAAGTGTAGGTAAAAGAGAAGGCATGGGATTAGGAAAAGTCAACTTACTGCCTAGTTGTGGTGATAGACCGCAACCAATCTATTAGACAAAGACTATGAAAAGCTCTGCTGCAGTTTGCATTATCACACTGGTAGTCCGTTGGACACCCACTCTTGATTCCAAGTTCATCCTCTAGGTAACAGAAAATTAGTAGGTGAGACAGTATCAACTGATGATTGTGGTCATTGCATGTATTCATGCATCTGAGAAGGTATTACCAATGGGAAGATGTTGAGCATAACATATTCCACATTCCAGTTGTTGCTCGTCCTTCTCTGTATCTGGGGCCTTTGGTAGTTCAAACCCCAAAATACAGACCAGATTTTCTCGGAAAGGTTTTTCTTGCATCCTATAATAGATAAGTGCAAATCAAGCATATTAAATGATATAAGCGACTGTAACAAGATGGGTCAACTCGTATAAGAAATGAAAGAAATAGATAGTTCCGAATTGAGGCCAAGATGATTGTTTAGTTCCAGATCTATAGCACTGTGCTGATAGTTGGACCTGGCAATATAGAGCAGAATAATAGGAAACTCCACAAGATATCACAATTGTAGTGAAACAATGAGAGATACATAACGATCATCGTTTTACTTAGAAGCACATTAATTGATCTGACACCCACTGGAACCCTTTTAGTTCTAACTAGTTCTCAACAGTGTAACTCAAAATCTAGAAATAAGATGAAGATTGATTGCAAAGTTATGGGTCGTCTATTAATGAGAAATTACTCGCTTTATATGCATTTAATATAAAAAACTACAAAGAATACATGAGAAAACAATAGGCAAGTTGCCAATTCATATTCAGAAGCAAAAAGTATGAAAGATCTTTTCTCTAGTTATTCCAATGATATCAAAGCATTAAACTCTTCACCAAATATTTGGTCAGCTTAAGCATAACACAACAAGCAAGTGTAACTAACCAAGCAAGACAAACATAATCTCACTATGGTCAAGAAGGCAGCAAGGGAGTGCACAACCTTCAGTGCCAATTCTAAGCCCTCTTGTGAAAAACTACAAACCCTTGTAAAGCCATGTCCAGGTCCTTTGATAATATCCGTCTTCCTCAATAATTTACGGTCAGATCAGATTTCCTCAATATTTTACATGCGCGCGCAGATCCCACACCTAGGTTACAAGCTCAATGTGTCTATCTGTAGCTCAGGAGCTTCAAAGGACAAATACTTCCTTTTCTATTAAAGCCAGCCAACAGTGTCATACAATCCAAAGGATCATGGTAAAATATACTAGTTAAGTAGACAAGTACCATTTTTTGCAGTTTCTGCTCCACGCCTTTCTCAAAGGGCTTATACTAGAATCTGGACCCATAAAACGGCACCTATAGCAGTACAAATTTAAGTTGCAGCACTAAACAAGTCCACGGTACCAGCAGCAGCTGTAATTCAGAACTATTCTTACTCTGGTACAGTTTTAGGATTCTGTGCATTTATAGATAACACGACAATGCAGTCATTTCCTTGCAAGAAGAAAGGAGAAATATTGGAGTTAGATGAAGGACAGAATTTGAAAATATAGTTTGATGTTGGAGAAAGGAGGAATTACCTATATTGACTAGACGTTGGCACATAGCTCGGCATGAAAATTTAGGATTTACAACCCAAAGAGAGTTGTCAATATCATCTAATGTGGACCAAAAGTCCTCGAGTGTATCCACATGCTAAAATTGTAATGGACAAATTAACATCCTTCTTATAAATTAGTCCTTAAAGAAGATACGGTTTCTCATAAACGGCAGAAACAATTAATCATCAAAACCTTCAGCTGACAACCTGTATATGTACCTTTTTGAACTGAATCACAGCATCCTTCAATCTTGAAGTCGCTGACCATTCTATTTTAGGAATATATGGTACATCCTGGCAAGAGGTTCAGTGAGTATTATGACCTCAGAAAAGGAGGTTAGACATGATCGAAAGTAAATATACTGACCCCTGAGATAGAAGGAGGACAACGGGGGTAAGTTTTGTCCACTTGAACTTCCATGACATGAACCCTTCCACTTGCATCCCTTGTAATTGATTTGTCAAAAAGTTGAGCACTTTGACGGTTACGAGAGAGGTGAAGGAAAAACAGGTAATATCCATAGAACTAGTAAAAACAAGCAGAAAGAAAAGAACAACGTATGAGAGGGGAAAAAGGAAATGTCTCCAGAATATGCATGAACACACAGCTCCCAATTAAAGTGTGTATGTGCATACATATTTTTAAACTAACAAAGACAAGAACCATTAAGACAAGCTTATACAAAATCCTTAGCCAAAAAATTCAATAGCACTAAAAGTTAAAAGTTATTAAGCACAGACGATAGGAATAGTAATATAGCTACAACTTTCTTCAAATGTCAATAATGGAAGAGATTTTATCTCCAACAGCAGCAAGTGTAAGCACACCTTACATGGATGTGGCCATATCGAACCAGACTAAAGACTACAACAGGAGTATAAGCCAGACCTTATGTAAAAGACAAAGTGTGACCACGTCAAAACGGGATCTAAGTGATGAAGCACCGTAGGAAAGAACCATATACAAAAAGCTGACATGCCCTCTCTCTTTTCGTTTTCTTTTTTTCCCTTTTCACTAAAAACAAGTGCTTTGTTAGTGAAACAAAGTACCAGAAAACTACAAAAGAGCAGGAGAAGCTAGCTTCATAACCAAAGACAACAAAAGCATAGGTAATTTAGTGGATGCCTAGAGCTCAATGGACAATGAAGAGAGAAGCCATTGAGCTCACGCAACTTGGATAGACAAATGAACTCAATGGTGGATGATGAACAACGACCAGCAATGACAGACAAACAGTGAATGGTGCACCCGCAAGAGGTGCGAAGGAGGTCCACAGCGGAGCTTAACTGTTCCATCACATTAGTTTCAGGCTGGAAATGCCCTAGCTTGAGGAAGAGTGTTGAAGAATACTGGTTAGATAAGTGTTAGGTACCATATGTAAGGTAGTTAGAAATTTGAATGTTAAGGGGGCGTTTGGCAACTTGCCAAATAGTAAAAATTTCTGTTCTTTGTTCCCAGAATCAGTTTGGGAGCAGAAATCCGTTAGTTAAAATTTTTGTGCCCAGGAACAAATTTGCAAAAAATTGTTCCCAGAATCAGTTTTGGAACAAAATCAAGAAGCCAAAAAAAGTAGTTTCTTGATTCTGGAACAATTTTTCCATTTTTGATTCTTCTTGGTTTTATTCTTTCTTTTTTATTTGTTCTTCATTTTCTTCCCGGCCTGCCGCCGGTGACCGGCCACCGGCGACTGTCCATCGACGACCGGCCAGGGCCGGCGAGGGTGGCCCTCTCCGCCCCCGGCGACGGCGAGGTCGGCCTTGCCCAAACGGGCGAGGTCGACCTCGCCGTCGCCACCCCCGACGACGGTGAGGTCGGCCTCGTTAGAGCCGGGCGAGGTTGAGCCTCGCCGGCCAAGGCGAGGCCGACCTCGCCGGCCAAGCGAGCCGACCTCGCCGTCGCAGGTGGTGACGGCGAGGTCGGCCTCGCCTTGGCTAGGCAAGGCTCGACCTCGCCAGATTTGGGCGAGGTCGAGCCTCGCTCGGCCATGGCGAGGCCGGCGGCGAGGGCCGCGACGCCCTTGCCAGGCCCTGGCCTGTTGCCGGTCGCCGGCGTCGGCGACCAACCGTGGCCAAAGAAAAAAAAGAAAAAAAAAAAAAGAAAGAAATATTAAAAAATTCAAAATATTATTAATAAAAAGAAATTTTGTGTAGTTACCAAACGCATTTCTGTTCTTTTTCTATTCTAAGAATAGAAATTTTGGGCAGTTACCAAACGCCTTCAAATGCTTAGAAATTGTTCCCGGGCACGGAATCAAAAAGAATCATTTCTAAGCAAAATCTGTTCCCGGGCATAGAATGGTTGCCATGCGCAGCCTAAGTAGATTATTGCTCTATGCTCCATAAGTAGAATATATGTAATCTTGCATCAACTCAAGTGATAAAATGTAGCCCTTTGTGCTTTTGTCTCCTCTCTTGCGATCCCAAATCTTAACAATTACTAAAATATCTTCAAAAACATAGAAGCCAACTGAGAATCATTCAAAAGACACGACAAAAGATATAGGAATTACAAGATGAAAGGGTTAAAAGAAATGCTGAATAGCTCCATCTTTGAAAAAAAGACAAATAATTATCAACAAGTGCAACTTACAAGATGCGGAAGCTGAGAAATGTTAAATTGTCACCTAGTCGCACCAAATGTTCCCATCCAACCTCTTCAATCTGCATATAAATAGCAAATTATCAACTTATCATGTCCAGGTAACAAAAAGAATTTCTCATGCCTCCAGAATGAAAAGAGAAAATCATTCATCTTGAACATAAATATCCTCCCCCAGGTAGAATAGTGAAACAAGCTTAGAAGAACAAGAACTAGCATAATGCTGCAAATTGCAACCATATTGGCCTTTTCATAATGATGAAGCTACTTAAGCACGATACAATGAGAGTTCCAAAAATGTGTGCCAGCAAGCAAATACTCACAGAAACACAAATGCAAATTACACTTTGGTCACCTCTGAATACAATTTGCGGCAAAAGGAAGATGAGTTCGCTAGCTCTCTGCATCTAATTTGTCCAGCACATTCCTGTAGTTTAAAGAAAGAGCGTCCATCATACACATACAGAGTTCAACAATGCTGTTATCAAGATGGCCAAATTGTGTGAACACTTATGCATCCAAGGTTATCCTGCGATCATTGGACCTTTTAGGAAATTTCTCATATGTAAAAATATACTTGGTTGTGTCAAATGCAAGGAATAATATGAAACATGTGCATATGCCATTAAAATAATCAATATATAAAACATTCTCCAGAACGAGAAAATGCATGCAATATCATCTTGGCCACTTATGGTGACAAGCTTGTCTAAAGAAACTCAGAATCTTCGATTAAGTGTCATGAAAATAATAAAGGACAACCAAATGTTGAACAAGATCAACAAACTTTGGGAATTGATATAGGAAATAGTGAAATTTGATTTCAATTGAGGAAGTTACTTCTGCTCTAAATTGCAACCAGATAAATGGTATTTGTTAGTATGTAGAGTAACTATTTCTTCAAGTAGGTAACAATTCGAAGCAATCCTGTTTAGTTGCAATAAGGAAAGCAACGACGAACCCTCAAATAATAAAAGTGACCAAAAAAAAAACCCTCACATAATAAAAGTGAATAAGCTTGTTTCTGAAAGGGCATTAAAAAGCTTGCTGTGGTGCTACCACCACTGAAATCAGCTCATGTACATGCCCAACTTTTCACAGAAGTTCCAGAACTACCTTGATAGGCCAGACAAGAACAAAACGCGGCCAGAGAAGCCATAATAACTAGTCATACTTGTTCTTTCTTTCCTCTACTAACGAGATAACAAGATTATGTGACTGATCAATACCTCCTCACCAGTAGTCTCCACAGGAACAAAGCCCATCCTTAAAATGATGGAAACGATTCGCATCTCGCACGACAATCTCTCTATCGACAAGCTTAGATATAAATTTGGTTGCTGCATGACAGTTAACACATGCACGGAGATTTTTTATTATACGAAGTGTTGTTCCAGGAGTAGTGCTAATCAACCCATACGCAATGGCAATTCTCTCACTATGATTACAAAGGAATTGCTCCTTCTCTTCATGTATCAGGTCATGCATCACAGACTCTGTACTGGGGACAAAACCAGCCTCCTTCAACCTGCTCTCCAATTTCTCAAGTTCTTCAAATATTTCCTCAGATCTTGGATGTGACTTGTCTCCTACACGGAAGGCCTGAAGCTTTCCATTGACCTCAATCAAACTGTATCCAAGGTCCTTATTGAGACCTTTTTCTCTCATCAGTACTCGTATTTTGGCAACTTGATTCCATAAACGTAATGAAGCATAGAGATTTGAGAGTTGAACAAAATGTCCAATATTATATGGATCTAGTGAGAAAAGATGTTGTGCAGCATATTCACCCAGTGCCACATTACGGTGAATCTTGCATGCACTCAAAAGAGCACCCCATACAGATACACCTGGTTCGATTGGCATCTTTAGGATAAAATTGTAGGCTTGGTTTAAATGTCCAGCGCGTCCAAGAAGATCGACCACGCAAGCATAGTGCTGATGACGTGGTTCAATCCCATAACTACTCATGCTGTGGAAAAATTCCCACCCCTCTTTTAAAAGACCTGAATGGTTGCATGCAGTGAGAAGTCCAACAAAGGTGACATCATTTGGGCACACACCAACTTTCTTCATCTCATGGTAAAGATCAATGGCTTCTCGGCCCTTACCATGCAATCCATATCCCACAATCATAGCACTCCACATAACAACATCTTTGTCTAGTGCACGATCAAAAGTTTTTCGAGCCAAATGTATGCTTCCGCATTTTGCAAACATATCAATGAGTGCTGTATTCACAAAAATGTCATCTCTAAATTCACTCTTAGAGATGTACTGATCCATCCATCTTGCCAACTCAAGAGAGCCCACTTGGGCACACGCCAAAATAGCAGATGACACAGATATAGTATCTGTTTTTATGTTTTTCGAGATCATGCCTCGGAACAGCTCCACAGCTTCCTCAGCATAGCCATTCTTTGAATACCCAGAAATCATGGCATTCCACAAAATCAAGTTCGGCATCTCCATCTGATCAAAAAATGTTCGGGCAACAGTGACAAGACCACACTTGGCATAACAGGCTGTGAGAGATATAAGCAAGTCTGGTTCATGCTCAAGACCCATCTTGATGACACAACTGTGAACAGATTTCCCTTGTTCAAGATCCTCTATATCAGTGTATGCTTTAAGAATACTCACAAGAGCGATCCAATCAGGATGTACGTTCAATTTCCTCATCTGGCTGAAAATTCTCAAAGATTCCGTCGGCTGGCCATTCTGAGCATACCCAGAAATCATAGATGTCCACGATACAACAGTCCTATCACGTAATTGGTCAAACACAATCCTAGCATGCTCAACCTTGCCGCATTTGGCATACAACGTCACAACACCATTCTGCACAAACACATCTGATTCATACCCATGCCTATAAACCTGTCCATGTACACACCTACCTATTCCAAGAGCAGGCAAGCCAGTACATGCTCTCAAAATGTAGGGGAGGGTGAAGCCATCCGGATTGACACCAGTCCCCTGCATCTTAGAGTACAATTCAACAGCATCACTGAACAGATTGTGCCTTGAGTAACCCCTAATTATAGCATTCCACAAGAACACATCCGGGTCAGGAAATTCATCGAACACCTTACGGGAATACTGAATTTCTCCAAGGTTTGAGCTCCAATTGACAAGCTTGGTGATCAAAAAACTATCATTATGTAGTCCTAGGACCAGCAACTTGGCATGGATTTGATTCAAATGTCCTAAGCGCGTTGAGTTTTCAATAAGAGAAGCAAAAAAGTCGTCCAGACTCAACGTGCAGTTCTTGAAGTGTCCAGTCCCATGAAGGTTATTGTCTAGGCAGAGGGGCAAACTACTGCTACATCTAACAATTCGAAACGCGAAAACAGGAAAGGAAACGCGGGATGCTAGAACGCTTGCCGCATCAAACGAGGGGGCACGGCGGAAAACTACCCGCATCCCGTGGCTCGGTCTCCGGACCAAAACTTCCCCGCAGCGCAGATGGCGGACGACACGGTCCGGCCTGCCCATCACAGTTTGGTCACCTCTGGACACAATATACGGCAATGGGTGTCCATCATGACCACTCGCGCTTTCAATGGCGTTCTCTCTCGGATGTCCAAGCACAGCGCCTTCTCAATCCAACCGTCGTCAAAATCGTGTCTTGCCGGGTCGGGGTCGAGCCACATGCATTGAATTACGCATCTTAAGGGTAGAACGGAGAGTCGTATCGTCAGGCTCACGCTCGCCCTCGAATCGCTGAACCAATGGGGAACAAATATTGCGGTCTCAGCCCAGGTTGTTCAGGATTGCGCAGAATCAAACGCCGAAGCTTGAGAGACTCCTTGAGGAGCCCAAATCAACAGTAAGAAAATATATCGTTTAAAAGTTTCGAAATCGGAGATGAATGTAAATTTGCGAAAACAGTTAGGAGACGCCGAGAACTAGAAGGAGGAAACGCCAGAGCAGAGCAGATTACAGAGTCTCAAGAGTCCGAGGCCATACTGTAGCGATGTCAGCTCGGAGAAGTCCTCGCTTCGTCGTCGTCGTCATCGTACACGCAGTCCACAGCTGAACTCGCAATGCTGCTTGCAGATGACTCTCTCTCTCTCTCTCTCTCTCTCTGCTGCTCATTCGACAGGCAACGGAAGGCCGAGCCTACGTTAGGTTAGTGTCTTGCTAGAACATCACCTATGACAACTACACGAAAATTAACGCTTATTTATTTTACGAAAAATAAATGATTTAAAGTTTTTTTTAAAAAAATAATTATTTAGATGGCTTACATAAATTAGTAATAAAATATATCTTCAGTCATACGTGAAAATATTCAGACATAAATTATTATTTAAAAATAATTTTCATCGACTAATAATTTCAAGTGAGGTAAGCAATTATTTTTAGGAAAATATTTTTCAAATCATATATTTTTTACGAAATAAACTAAATCTTAATTGTCGTCCCTTGTCCGTAAAAATATTTTCATCATATTAAAATTGAGTGGTGCGATAATTTGTATAAAAAGTTTAACCAATCAGAAGTTGAAATCTTGGTGCTATCATTTCCTATCGACTTAAGTTAATCGTAGAATAAAGTACACTGCAACTTGGGGATAATTGTGCAAAAAAGTCCTAAACATATTATACTACTACCAATTTATCATAAACTTTTCAATCATGTCAATTTAGTCATAAACCTTTTATCGATTTACCAATGTAATCCCTTCAACCAATTTTGACCTGGTCGCACGTGGATGCCAAACGTCATATGTGGCGTGCCTGACATTGATATGAACAGTTTCTGCAAATTTAGAATTTTTTATATTTTCTTTTTCTTTTCTTTCTTTTTTTTTTCTTTTCCAAGGCTAGTGACCCCCATCGGCCCTTAGGTGAGGGCAGGCAACCCTCGCCAGCCCTATGAAAAAAAAGAAAAAACAAAAAGTTCAAAATAAATAAATAAAAATTCAAAATTTTTGTTAAGAAATTTGCAAAAATTGTCCACGTTGATGCCAGTCATGACACGTAGAACAGCCAACGTCCATGTCGGCGATTCCTAACCAAACAGAAGGACTACATTTGCAAATTCTCAAAATGTTTATAACTAAATTCGTATAATTAAAAGATTTATAACTAAATTGGCCGGCACATAATAAGTTGAGATTTTTGGACAATCTTCCCCGACAAATTGGAAAAATTGAACAATATTTGACAAAGTGCGTATCGTGTGGCCAATTTCTTGTTCTGCATATGTTAGTTTTTTTTTTTTTGGTCGGAGCAATATATTAGTTAAAATACTCATATTTTTATGTGAAATATACGTACTTACTTGATTTTCAATTAAACTTTTCTGCACTTTTGTTGAATTTACGGAAAAATAATCGTACTCGTAGAGAATCGAATTATACACGTATAAAAGCACATGAAGTATTATACTTGGGTTAAAAGTACTTCAATTTTGAACTTATTTGATGTCATTTCTTTGGTTAATTAATGATGTAACACGCTAAGCGTTATTTATGTGACCAAAATATAATTACTTGTATTCAACATTTACATAAAAATAATTGAAACTTTTCTGTATGCTCACTAGATAGCACGAGGTAATGATAAAAATTCAATTACTAGATGCGATACTTCTATAAAATCATACAATTTAAATATTATAAAAATGTAGGTTTTTCCCGTTTATTATACCAGTGAAGAAAGATTGTTTTCAACGTACTTTTAAAAAAAATGATGATATATACACGTCGTCTCCCCAATCATATAAATTCTCGTCCCGTATGTTACTAACCAAGGTTGCAACCAAATAGGAAATGCTAGTCACGTTGAAAGATGAGAAAGTGTAGATTATAATCACAGTCATATTCATTCATTTTTAAATTTGAAACCCTACCTTTTCTTTAAGGGAAAAACTTTGGCTTTGACCCGAGTTAAGCCAAACAACACAATGTAGAAAACGACTGTGAAAAGTGAGTTGCAACCATATCGTGTATGGCAGCTCCCCCGTCAACAGTGGAAGAAAAAACAGAAGCAATAAAGAAAAAAATACTATAAAAAAGTAATAATAATCATGATGATGATGATTATGAGAGAACATCATGTAACATCTTCAGCTTGGCCACGTCCTCAAATTTGTGCGTCTTGTCTTGATATATATGTATATATATACAGAATTAAAACCAAAAAATGAAGGCTATGATGAAAGCCTGCATTATTGTTTAATTTGGTAGGGACTCAGGAGCCCATCACTTGTCGATATTATGCACGTGTGATGTGACAGTTGCAAGGTAGAATCAAACACATGAAAACAACGCTACGTGAGTACGAAGATTGACGTGTTTTGAGCCTTTATACACACCTCATCTCTACCCTTCAGCATGCGAGCTAGTCTCTTTGTACACACCTCATCTCTACCCTTCAGCATGCGAGCTAGTCTCACCGATTCTATAGAATTTAATCCTGATGTGTTTACTTATGAGAAAGAAAAGGAATATATAGAAAGAAATGGGCAAAGTCATAAACCATTCACAGGTGATATGGGCAAAACATAATGGTCCCCTCTCGATGACCTCATTCAACACACGCTCACAATGACCAAAATGTCACAACTCACCCACCGCCTATTAACAAAGCTGAGGAGAGGAAAGAAGTCCACCTACCAACTATAGGTGGTCGTGCCGAATTTATGCATCAACTAGTAAAGATGGAGTAGTCTAGTGGGCAGACATCAAGATTACACTTCAAGTAAGGTGGATGTAAAAGAGGGACACACGTCATGGTCCAGAGGCAGTTCCGACGAGACGATGTTCATTTCGATTCATTTTAGTCGACCATGCCAATCATGCTAAGATGAGCCCAGAGGGTCAACATATACCCCATTTAAAATGACCTAGATTTTTATATTTCTCGCACCGTGATTCACTAAATACCTAACATGTTGAGGGAAGAACGAGTGCGGCAGAAATATAGAAGTTGAGATAATCCGAATCCCAAACCATCATCATGTTCAGTTTGAGTTGCAAACTCATTAGACAGCATTGAGAGAAGACTTGGGATAAATACTTCCTTCATAAGTTCATATCTTTTGCTAATAACAAGAAGAGGCCATGAAGTTTGGGAACAGAAGGCAGGGAAACCTTTACAATCTGTGTAGCATTTATACAACAGTACCTTTACAAACAAACAACAGAGAAACAACTATGATTTCAACCTTGTACTGTGATACACTTCAGTTTATTCCAACCAGTCACCTGATACCACCACTATGGCCAGGACTGGCATATTTCACAGGATCAGTTTTCTTTAGCAACAAATATTTATCCAGAGACGATAATTATAGAGGAAGATTTTACTTTAAAGAAACTTCAGAAGTACAATTGGCAAGGGGCATATCTGCGGGTGTGCATACCAGAGCCCTTTGCTGTAGATGTCTCAAGGTCTGCTCCATGCTTACTTGCACCATCTCAGCAAGCATCGTCTTCGCCTTGTCAGACTGGTCCTCTCCATTAATTTGAGAGATGATGTTGCAGACAATATTCTCAAGCGTGTCAGGTTGGTGATCGGATCTTGGATCTGGAGATTCCCTCAGCAACCGCAACAGTGTATGTGCTTTTCCTTGAGACTTTGGTGTCCCTTGGACAGTGAGCTCGAGGAGACCAGGAATTACACCTTCTCTGAGGATTGGTTCTCTGTATTTACAGCGATCACTCTGACACATTGCTAATAAAGCCCCGACAGCATGCTCCCGACTCTGGAGGGACCCATTCTCCAGCACATCAACTATGGCAAAAACTCCACCTTCCTCAGATGTCAATGCTATTCTACCGTCCTCAAAATTTAACAATGATTCTAGAAGAGCAGTGCACTTTTCAGCAGTTTTAGACGACTTTTTACAGGTTTTCAGTAAGTTCACTATGGAAGGAATTGGATCTGCTTTGAGGATAACGTTGAGATTATCTGGATGTGTCGAGAGATTGTAAAGAGCCATTAAGGCATCAATCTTAGCCTGTTGGGTTCCACATCTCAGGATTCCTGCCAAGAGAGGGATGGCTCGGGAAGAGCTTATGACTGGCTTGTTGATGGTAGAAGCAGACAGAGTAAGCAAAGCGGCAGCTGCATGCTCTTGGAGTTCAACATTATCTGACTGTAGAAAGCTGATAATTGGCTCAAGAGCACCCGCATCAACAATATTCACCTTATTGCTGCAAGATAAATGGGAATGAATATCAGCGTCGATCTTCCAGTCATGTAGAGAGGCTATTTTACCATAAAAGTCAGTGGAGCATGAGCGACGAATGAAAGGCAAGCAGCAAGCAATCAATAAATTCAAGACCAGCAAAGGCACAAAAACAGATATATCCAAGAGCTCTCCTACGATTTCCTCAATCTAGGGGATTGACCAAGAGTCCCTGATAGTAATAGCAGCGTTATTGATTAGATCGATTAAACTAACAGTGTAATATTTGCCTCAGCTCTGTTGCAACATATTATGGACCTGGCCGATAGAAGCACTTGATTGCCAGGTAAAGATTTTGTATAGTCCATACTTGTTGAAACAATCTTCTCATTCTTGACAAGGCAACGAATATGTTATTCCGCAGTCGCTGACTCCGTGGAAAGCTAAAGTTACTACCCAATTATCGCCTCATCACTCACTATAGGAGTAATATGATGCTCATGAGAATAGCATGTTAACAAAGAAACGGAAGCCACAGTCCTCATATGCATATAATTTTCGTGATGCAAGAATAAGAACCTAGAGTTGAGAAACTACGACGCGGTTCAGTTCCAACTGGTTAAACAGACATATGCAAGTTTCCACGCTCATGGAACCACCTCAGAAGTCTTTAAGGATGCCAATGAACTCTCGGAATCGGTTGAAATTCGGGTTACTTCACAAGCAGCATAGCATAAGATGCAAAAGAAGGGAAAAGAAAAGGGCAATGAAAAGAAAGGGCACAACATGTGAACTAAAGAAGAACCACCCTTGAGTCTGATTAGTGGTGAGCTTTCAACCACGGAACACCCACATGTTCCCTGGGGAAAAGAATATGCCCCGCTTGCGAGATCTATCCAACCGACCATTTTTGCCTTTAAACCCATTCAGAACACAATAATCAAGAAGAAAAACTCACCGCCCGCTACAGGGAAAGATACTTGTTGACCGAATGAAACAGACTTTATCAACATAACTTAAAGATCGCATCTTTTGATTTAACAAGATAATAATTCCGCGAAAAGTTTCAGAAATTATCAACTAAGAAAGCTTAAGATTAGTCCAACTTTCCCATTTCCCGGAATAAACGCGACTTGAAGCAACCAATAGAGCATGAAAAGAGAAAAAGCGACGTGATAAAATAAGGAACCATCCACTCGTATTTCGCTTTTTTCCCCCACTTCGAAATTTCCCCGGTTGATGAATCCGAGGTAAAAGCAAGTGAGAGAAGGAGGAAAAGGGAAGGAACAGCAGCAACTCAAGCAAAGTATCGTCGTCGTCGTCGTCATCATCATCATCCGTCAGCTTCTATAGGGGGAAAAAAGAGATAAAAGAAGGGATCTTCTGCCCAAAAAAGTATCTATTCCCAATCAAGTTCTTCGAGAAACAGCTGCAGTTCTCCACAGGTAACCACCAAAAACGTCCAAAACCGATGAACAGATGTCCATCACGAGCAAAATGGAAGGGAAAAAACCATGAGGCAGCGAAAGCATCGGGTAAGAACGAAAATCGCTGAAGCCTGACCCGATTCAGGCTGGATTTTCGAACGAACACGTTCAAGCACATCGTCCGCGATCCAGAAAGATGACGAGGGAGGGGGAAAAGGATCGCACAACCAAAAAAAAAAAAAATCGTGTTTCAGAATGAATCGCGAGCATATGAACAGAAACACGGACGCAATCGAGCAGCAATCAATCCGTACTACTGAGAGAGAGCGAGAGCGAGAGATAGAGAGCGAGAGAGCGAGGGAGAGAGAGAGAGGGGTACGTTTCGTCTTTGACGGCGAGGTTGAGGAGGGCGAGGAGGGCGGCGTCCATCAGCTCGAGGGAGTCGAGGCGGAGCATGGCGACGAGGGGCCCGACGGCGTCGGCGAGCTGGCGCCGACAGGCCGGGGAGGTCTTGGTGAGGCGGCGGATGTCGCGGGCGGCCTGGAGCTTGGAGCCGGGGTCGTCGGTGCGGAGGAGGCGGAGGGAGCGGAGGGCGGCGGAGGAGGCCGAGCGGGGCGTCGACTCCGCCTCCGACGAGGCACTCGTGTGGTTCTCCGGCGGCGAGTAGTCCATTCCTCCGTACAGAGCTAGAGAGAGAGGGAAGAGAGAGAGAGATGGAGAGAGTAAGACCAGAGAGAGAAAAAATCTGAGTGGGATTTTAAGAGATAGAGAGAGAGAGAGGAAGTTTGTAGGGAGGGGTTGGCGTTAAGCAACAGTTAGGGGCCTCCTGCTTTTTTTTTTTTTTGCTTCTTTTTAATTTTAATATATTAAATCCGTCCTTAAACTGCGACTCGATGCGCGATATGGGCCCGAGCTCTTAATTTATTCGTTGTGATCCTTGACCTTTACTATAATGTACAATCTCACCCCTGAACTTTTATTTTATTCGATACGGCCTCTAAATTTTTAGTGCATGTTCAAACTAGTCTTTATACTATATGAAAATGTTCAATGTGATCACTGAATTTAAATTAATGAAAGGATAACGTTGATTATTTTCGTATAGTTTAGAGACTCGTTTGAACATTTATCAAAAGTTCAGAGATCACATTGAATAAATTGAAAGAATATTAAAGTCAAGGGATAATATTAGATAAATTAAAAGTTTGAGGATCGTATTTTACGTTGAATTAAAATTTATAGATCATTTGTGTCGTTATCTCAGAATCCGTAGAAAAAGGATGGCCCCTAGATATTTTTTTAACGTGCTTCGATTATTAATGTTGTTGGTGGGGTGAAGACAAATGGCGGTAGTTCGTAGGCAGTTGGGTAAAAAGAAGTCAAGAGTACCCGTTAGTCAACATTACTGTTCTTTGCAATGACGGCTCTCGTTCAATGATTAGGCAACAAATGGACTTTCATTAATTACATCCAAATGCCTCGTATAAATCCAAAGGACTGTTCGTTTTACATCTTTCCCCTTGATTTTCTTAATCCAAATTAGATTAGTAGGCAGAAAAATCTACTTGATCCGTTGACCGAGAGTGCCTCATCTGATCTTTGGCAAATTTGGTGTGCCGGTTTTTCTAACCTTAGAATCACTAGGTTGCCTAATCGATTTGAATAATGATGCGGCTGCTAACGCAGAAACGCAGTGATCGGGACCTAACAATTGGGCGAGCTGGGTCGGGCTTGAAAATTAAGCCATTTTTAAGCTGCTTAAGCATGTCGCGTTCATACTTAACTCTAATTATATCGGGCTAGCCTCTTTTGATCTATTAAAAGAAGCACCTCGACTTACATGACTGGAGTTTAAGTACAACCAACCGACACTTCCAAAGGAAAGGCGTGAGAAAATCTAACAAAAGTTTGGCAAAATCACACATGCTAACTCCCGTGAATATGATGACATGAACTGCTCCGACCCGGCAACGCTAAGCAAATCAAGTGGAGATCATCAAGAGGCTTAAAAGCGACTTTGGGCCTTGAAATGACCACGTATTATGATGCCAAAACGAAAAGGACGTGGTTTCGGATCAAGTGATTTTTCACTGGACGAATCGTGTTCCTTGTAATGATGATGATTGCGACGATTTTCTCGTCTGTTGATGGTGCGTCGTCATTGGCCTGGAAAATGTGTGTAAGAAAGTCGCTCACCGGTTGGTGGGGCGTCGTCTTTTGTACTTTTGCCCACATGTGGGTGGGTGCGTAGAGTATAATTCATGTACCCACCAGGCAAGACCCACTTCATTAAATTTCATTAGTGTGGGGAAAGGAGAGAAAGAATAGAGTCGGAGAGATCCCTATCTTGGACTTCAAGTGATTTTCTAACAAGCTTGTTTTCTTCAAAAAAGAAGGAAAAAAGGTGGGAACGGCCGACGTTGGAAGCCAATTTTGATCCCTCACTTTGAGAGAGGATCCACGGGACGCAACGTGCAAAGAAACCGGCAAGTGGCGACTCACGGAGCCGCCATGGTGAAAAGCTTCTCTCGGTAACCCACGTCGCCTTTCTCAGCGGAAACGGTTGAATTCCATCTCCCTCGAATGCATCCCGGAGGAGGATACCGAGTAATGAAAATAGGACGAGTGACTTCACGCACAACGCCCCAACACCCGCCTGCCCAACCCCCCCCACCCCCACCCCAACCCACCCCCCCCGGTTTGGCACTATCCATCTTTGAATGTATGCGAGGAAGTCTGGAGGACTATACCCTACAGCCAAAGCTCACGGTCTCGTTGCAATACAACAACGTTTCACCCATAGCCAAACTTGTACGTGGGAAAGACACCACAGCCTTTTTCATTCACATCTCTTTCGTCGAAAGATGACGCAACAGCTTTCCATTTTCGTCCCTCACGCTAATTAACAATCTCATCTACCCGCCGTGTCAACACGTGAGCGTAGCCTGTAGCGATCCTCCCTGAATCGATCTTCAAATATGCCGACTTGTTTATGTGCTCGTGCCGAATACATTCCATTTTAAAGTATCAAACTGAACAAGGAAAAAAAAGCAGCGTCCCTCTTATTTCAACATCCTAAAGAAGCAACAACCAACATGGAACAACGAACTTCCCCATCTACTTTTCCTGTGCCAAGATTAGAAAGGATAATTTTCAACCTTCGTTTTTCCCCATGACCTCGCCGACAGAAGAGATGAAAGAACTTTTTATATAGCCGATGATGCTAGGAAATAGCTCATTTCATTGAGTTCCTCATCATTTAGACAACCTGATATTGAAAACAAAATTTCCAATCTAAAATAGGAAACTAACATGATAATATCTTTCCACAATGTGTACTTCCCCTAACCTCTCAGGAGAAGGCAGGTGTTTCTTTGTCACAGCACTCCCTCCACAATAATCAAGAGCCAAGACAGAGGCAACTTTTCAAAACTGCAAAACTATTTTCTCAAAAGCTAAATCTTGATGTTGAAGTAATCCGGGTCAAAGTGATGCAACCTAACATAACCATCTTCACCTCCACTTGAGAAACTGAAAAGACAAACAAAGTCGTAGAAAATTTAGAACTCAATCACACAACATGATTTTACTAAACATACAAGGTATACTAGAGTTCTATTTGAGGATATATGGTCTCAATATCACACAAAATCAGTTGCCTAATTGCAACAAAATCAATTAATCGACTTGCAATAACATCCAAATTCCACCATATTCTCACTCCGGGGAAAGTTGAATCAGTTCTCATGTGTTGGGAAAAATCAATCTATTTCACGTTCTCTGCAACTTTTACTAAAAACGTCGCACTTCGGCTTATCAAGTCACTTGTATTAGATATTAAGACAGCACCATCGTCCACACCATTGTACTGCCACAGAATTAAAAAAAAATATTACCTTTTCCCATCAGGATTGAAAGCCAAAGCATTAATAGGCCCAAAGTGTCCCTTCACACCTCCAATTTCTTCTTGGAGAATCTACACAAAAGCAGGACCACCACAATGACATGAAATACTCAATAAACCAGTGAACGAACGAACATCCAATGAGAGTAAATATAGCATAATTTACCTTGTCAAAAAACTTGGCTTCAAACTTTCCAGCACGATGATCAGTCATGGTTACAGCCGACGCATCTTGGCCACCTCCAAGAACCACCTGTAAGGACAAGAACGTCTTGACTTATAAAGAAAGCACAAGTGTACAACAGTTCATCAAACTAAAAGCGAAAAAAAGAGAGAATATCTTGGTGAGCACATGTCAACTCTGAAAGTAGTGTGAGGACGCACTAAAACATTTTGGTGTGCATACTCCTGAACTAAATGAACAAGGGGATGAGGCAAGTGATTTGGTAGTATTAGCTTGAGCCTCCTCTGGTTCAGTGAGAGAGTGAGCTTGGAGAGGAATAAGAACAGATGGAAATAAGAAGAGAAATTCTGAATTTGATGGCTATCTTGGTTGACCCACAGGGAACAGAATATAAAAGTAAAAAAGGCATAAGGAGCTAGCGTTGAATTGTGAAGGATAATACTAGGAATTTCAAATCCTTTGCCTCTAGGTACCGCTGCTGCTTTTTGTAAGTACATTGGTTTTTACCCAATTTTTACACTCATTATCCCCAAGCAAATCAATGGCACCCCTTGAGTACTCTAATAACTAACATAAAGCTCATAGATTTATCAAAATTGGCTCTCAAACATGTTTATAGATATAATCTTAAAAACACAATTATTTAACTCCAATACAGAAAAGCATGGATATGATTAAGAGTGTTCGTAAATTACACGGCCAATCAAGCTATTAGTAGTATTAGTAGTGACACTAAAACTAACATGGCAAAGAGCCAACTTTAATCAGGAAAACCACGTAGACTGTCCAAATAGAAAGATTCAGACCACGTTATAAAAGCAACCAACATTTAAAAAGGATGGGGGGAGGACATACATGATCAAGAAGTGGAGACATTGTAACTGCATTGACTGGGCGCTCTGTCGCATATGTTTTAATAAGAGTCAACGTCCTGATGTCCCATAGCTGAGATAATAGAAAGAAATGGTAGTATCAGATAAAGGAGAACTGTGACCTAAATCAAATCAAATGTACTTTATGGAATAATTACCTTGGCAGATTTATCTTGTGAACCAGTAACGAAATGTGAACCATCGACGGATTTCGTGAGTGAAGTTATCGCCTTTTTATGGCCAGTTTCCTTGTCTGACTCTCTAAGAAGCTTCCCAGTCTGCAATTTCACAAACAAGCAACAAAGAAGTTAGCACTTGTGTCAACAGCAAACAACTTCTAGTTGACGAAGAACCATTAAGTACTCAAAAACAAACTAAAGCCAAATATGCAAATTAATAACCGTAACAGAAAAAGAGTTGTATACCTCAGAGTCCCAAACACGAATTATAGCATCTTCTCCAGCACTTACAATAGTCTTGTTCAGAGGCCCCCAGACAGCTCGAGCTATTCTTCCTTGATGACCCCGAAGGATGAGGACAGACTCACCAATCTCTGCAATAAGGAGATAACAATGAACATTTACATCCAAGGAAAGACACAGAGCAGCTAGATTAGGTATGGAGCTCCTAAATTTCAAGGCTATTAATGAAGGTAGCGAAACGAGAGAGTCAAAAGAAAGGCCAACAAATTCACATTCACCATAAGGTTCTGATAATCCACCAGACTGAATAATGCCCACAGGAAAACAGGTATGTTAATCCATGGAGTACTAGTGGCCGACTGACACTATTCAAGGAGAAACTTCTAGCCACGTCATTTGCAAAAGCTTACCCACCCAATGCTAGTAGTTTTCCAACTTGAAACTATTCCTATGTTTGAATTAACATCAACAAATTAACAAACTTGATAATTGAATCAATTTATCTGCTTTTATTGCGCGAAAGTCAACCTCTCTGGATCAATCCAAATAATAGGAAGCGAAACACGAAAATACCCCATGAGTGAGGATGCTTATCCACAAGTATCTTGATCTCGAATGCTCAAGGATGTACAAGCCAAAGACATTAAAACTAAGCAACTATGCTCACTACCCAATACTTTGTTAAGGCAGCATTTGAAACAATTTGAAAAGAGGAAGAAGAGCACAAACTACTTACCCATGAATATGAGGAAGTCAAAGAGCTTATGATCAAAGAGGAAAGCAAACAGACAGATAGCGAGATACCATGAAATCATTGGCGTCCGTACACTTCTAAAGAAGTTAGTAAAACTAAAACCCGGGGAAGATTTCCTATTTCTGTCGTGAATTCAACAGAGGCATCACACATATCACTGAATCATGATTAGCCATGCTTGAAAGAGTACTCAATACTTAAGGGCTGGTGCCAAGTATCAGGGTCAAGTCGGGTGCTAATTTCTAGGTGCATACAAGCCAATGAATCTAAAAACATTCATACCAGGAAGAACATAGGTCCAAGTAGCTAAAACATAACAAACAGAAATCCAAGACACGAGCCCCCACCGATACAAGTCCTTAAGCCATGCTATACAACACGTATAATTTTCCACTCATCCCAATATTTGATTTTTCCTAATAAGAGGCCGCAAAAAAAAACCCCCAACTTACGGTCAGCAGGGTCTCTGGCAATGCGCTTCACATGAATAGCCGAGGGCAGCTCCATGAAAGGATCGGTGGTGATCACCGCGAGCTTGTCGCCGATGGAGAAATCCACCGACCTCGCCGGCGAATCGAAATTGAACGCGAACAGCTGCGTCCCGTTCTGCACGCTCCACAGCCTCGCCGTCGTGTCCGCGCTTCCGGTAATCAGCCTCTTAGAATCCCCTTCGAAAAAACACAACACAAGACAAGCGCACGGGAAGCAGATTCACCAAAACCAGCCGGGCGAAAGAGAAAACCGAAACCAGAAGCGACGCGAGAAGACGGGGGTGGGGGGCGAGGACTCACGGGAGACGTCGCAGCACCAGACGGCGCCGTTGTGGCCGCGGTAGGTGCCGAGGCGCTCGCCGTTGTCGGCGAACCAGACGGTGGGGGTGTGGTCCTTGGCGCAGGAGAAGAGGAGGTCGCCCTCCCGGTTGTACTTGAGGAACGTCAGCGGCCTCTCGTGGCCTTTCATCAGGATCGGCCTCATGGTCGGACGATCGAATCGGCGAACGCCTCCTTCTCTCGGAGATGGGCGGAGGAGCTGCGTAACCACCGCCGGCTGGTCTCTCTGCAACTTCCTGTGCGTGCTCTGCTGGAGGAGAAACCCTAGACGAGTAGGGGGAGGAGGAGGACGATGCTTTGTGGGCGTAGCACGTGAGCTGAGTATTTTATAAGTTTCCAGATACGTATTTTAACGGAGGTTCTAATGGTGGGATTTGAAAACTGCCGGACTGAACCGAATTGGTTTAGTTAGTCAAGGTCGCCGTGCTCGTGAGTATCGATCCGGGTTCGTGGTTCACTAAAAGTGGAATCGATGTCCAAAGCGGTCCGAGGTCCCTGTATCCAAGGGGGAAGCTTGACCAAATTAGACTGGCTTCTGAGAATGACAGGACTTACTACATACATATTTTTTTTATTTCTTCAAAATTTTTAGTAAAATGTAAATTAAACCATAAGTGACCGATTTAATTGGACCAAAACCGAAATCGGACCGGATCGATAATTGGGAACGGGGGATCGGATCGAGAACAAATCACCTCTACTTCATATACTAGAAAATCTAATCTTGGTCCTAAGTAAGACCTTAAACTGCTTCGTCCAAAGCCTCATGCGGACCTCAACATCATTTTGACGAAAAACACATAGAGAGTAGAGCCGAGTATAGGGCTCGAAAAACATACAACCAACTTGGGGGATGGGCGTGTGGGCGGATAAACAATACCCAACAAAAATGGAAGACCTAAATGCGAAAGCCTCATGCAGACCTCAGCTCATTTACAAAACACATGGACAAGACTCGGAACTCAAAACACACCAAGGGGAGGGCGCGTGGGCAAAAACCACGGTTTCCCAGCCTTGGTAATGTACACTTAGTAACCACTACTAATGATTCAAGTAGGCCCCCGATTTACTGAGGTAAACTCCAAAATAAAATTAAAAATCTTTAAAAAATTTTAAAAATCTTAATTTGATAATTTTATTGTCGATTAGTCTAGTCTAAAGTTTACTTAAGATTTTTTTCATATTGTTCACGATCAAATGACGATTACTGCCACTATATATGTGATTTCTAAATTACATAAGTATCAATCGAAGATACCACCTCGATAGATTTAACCGCTTGCTAAGATCTTTGATTAAAATTGATTTTATAGCGCTCAAACCTTGAAATTTGCCTAACAATTGAAACGTATCGGAGTCGTGAGCGACCGATGTTATCCCTCACCCGACAGATAGGATCTGCAAAATCGAAAACCAACTTAGAAAGGAATGTGTCAAACTCGGATATAGTTTACCACCAAATTTGTTAGAAGGGGGAGAAATTGATAAGTAAATTTTAAAAGCCACTACCACGTAGAGTACATCTTTCCCTTATATTTGAAAGAAAGATAAAATATCGATACTCTTATAAGTTAAACTAAAGCTCAGCAAATGTTAATTTGCCGCAAAAAAATAGGTTAAAACTAAAGTACATAGAAAGAAGATTTTGAACAAGTGACGATGGATTTGTCACAGCCCTCGATTACTCCAATTTTTAAGATTACTTTATTATATAATTTTAATTATTACCAACTAAATAATTACTTAAGGCAATTCATTGACGCTTAGGGAAATTGGCTGGTCAAAATTTATTTTTTTTGGGAAATTTCGACAAAAATCTGTTTTTCTTTTTTTTGGAACATAAAAAGAGGCTCGTAGTCCATCTCCACGAGGCCCATGCTATGACATGTTGGGCCATGTAACAAGCAACGAATGGATCATATCTTTTTGTGGCCCGGAACAAAGGGCCATAGCTTATCTAGACAAGCCCAAAAATCTTCACGTTTAGCCCTCCCTTTCGACGCATCCATGAGTTCTAAATCTAATGAATACTTCTCAGATTGTCGTAAAGTGTTAGTTACGATGGAGCGTCCTAAGCCATTTGAGCACTCGACTAATCTCAGTTTGTGTGCAGTCCTCCCCGCCCTTCCATGCATGCACCCACAATATTTACCTGACCGCGCATATCCGTACTCCTGAGGTAACCCCGAGAGAGAATGTGAAGTGAGGCGGTTCGAACTCTAGCAACCAGGACGCACACAACATTTACTGATTAAGCCAATTATATATCTATCGAGTTGATCGGATCCGTTTGTATATTAGCATGGAAAAGGTATTTTATGTGTCCATCACAAGATTAATGTGGCGTAACCGGCTGGTTATAGTACTCCAGTGACATACATGTCAACCAATTTATGCATTTGAATCTTGACCCCTTTTTTGTTGTCTAATTTCTCCATGTGTCATTGTCACGTAATGTGTAATTCTCACACAAAATACCTTTCTTGAAATATAATTATTGATATGTGAAGCAATCTTTACAACGTAACCAGGGTGCATCTCCCTTATTATTTTCATAAGGGACAACACCATCAAAAACCTAAAACTGGTATAATCATGCCACATTTATCCCAAATTAATTTTTATATCATAAAACCTCATAAACTGGTACACATGCGCCACATTTGCCCTCAACTAATTTTTGTGTCACGAAAAATTTAAAACTAGTACATTCGTGCCACATTTACCCAAAATTGATATACACATATTACATTTATCACAAAATCGTGTTAAATATGAGATTTTATGGGGGTAAATGCGGTACGGGTTCACTAGTTTGTGGTAATTGTAGTACGAGTGTACTGGTTGGTATTTTTTGTGACGAAAAAATTAGTTTGGACTGAACGTGGTACAGGTGCACCGATTTGGGGTAAATGTATCATGAGTGTATCAGTTCGAGAATTTTCATGACACAAAAATTAATTCGGGATAAATGTAGCAATGATATACTAATTTGAGATTTTTTATGATATTAACCCTTTTCGTAATCGATCCATTATAAGACTATAATATTACTGCAGCACATGCAACTTTGCTGCCGCCAGTTGGATATGCTAATTGTCTCTCTATTCTATAATAATCAACTGCTAGACAGACTAAGACAACATCCTCAACTAATTAACTTAACAATAATCACGATCGCTTCGGCCTCTTAGGAAAAGATAGGTCAAGATCAGTTTTTGGAGTCAATTTGCAAAGCATAAAAGGGCGTGCAAGGTCCACGAGAAAGCAGGGCAGAGACACGAATGTTTCTTCGTGGGATTCACGTAGTTGCATGACGCATTTATTAAGGTTGCAAGCAAGGATCGAATGCAACGTCGAAATCTGAAGTGTCATTAAGGTTTTCGATAACATGGACAGCAAATTTGCCCGTTCGAATATTAGACTTTGCCGAAACTTTAAGATCGCGATAGATTCAAACTTTAAGGTCGCGATAGATTCAAAGTTGGGTTTGCAACATTTAAGTATAAGATTACCAATTTAATAACCCTGTGCTTTCATGTTAAGTATAATCACCCACATGCACATGCATCTGTACTGATCTCAAAAGTATTTGTAGGAAGAAAGTTCACACTATTAGAAAGGGATAATAACACAAACAGTCCATGAACTTTGGCCCAATGTGCAATTTGATTCATGAACTTTTGATTTGTTCAAATATAATCCATAAACTTTAGCCTAATGTTAAATATGGTTCATGAACTTTTAATTTGTTCAATGTGGTCTTTGGACTTTTGGTACATGTTCAATTTAGTCCCTAAACTTTATAAAAATGTTCAATGTAGTCCATGTGTAATTTGGTCCATGAACTTTTAATTTGTTTAATATAACTCCTGAACTTTAGCCTAATGTTCAATGTGGTCCCTGGACTTTTGGTACATGTTCAATTTAGTTCCTGAACTTTATGAAAATGTTCAATATAGTCCATTGGGCCAAAGTTCAGGGACTGTTTGTGTCATTATTCATATTATAAAAAAGATAGAAAAAACCCTGAATATTAGAAGGTAAAAGATAGTAAGCGGGGCAAGTAAGATTGAAGAACTATGCCGAGTGTTCGCACGTCAAAAGGACGTCAAACATCGACAAACTGTAAGGGTCTGTTTGGCAACTTGCCAAATAGTAAAAATTTCTGTTCTTTTGTTCACAGAATCAGTTTGGGAGCATAAATCCATTTGTTAAATTTTTTGTGCCCAGGCACAATTTTGCAAAAAATTGTTCCCAGAGTCAGTTTTGGAAAAGAATCAAGAAGCAAAAAAAAGTAGCTTCTTGATTCTGGAACAATTTTTCCATTTCTGATTCTTCTTCATTTTTTTCTTTTTTTTGATTTGTTGTTACTCTTTGGCTTGCCGCCTGCCGGCAACTGGCCACAGGCGGCCGATGACCGGCCGCAGCCCAAGGCAGGCAAGGGCATTGCGGCCACGACGGCGAGGCCGACCTCGTCGTCGCCACCAAGGAGACGGACCTGGGTGGCGACGGCGAGGGCCGCGATGCCCTCGCCGACCCTGGCCTGTGGCCGGTCACTGGCGCCGGCGACCGGCCTTGGCTAAGGAAGAGAAGGGAAAGAAAGAAAAAAAAAAAGAAAAAAGAAAAAAAACAGAAAAAAGAAAGAAATATTAAAAAATTCAAAATATTATTAAAATATCATAAATAAAATGAAATTTTGTGTAGTTACCAAATGCATTTCTATTCTTTTTCTATTCTAAGAATAGAAATTTTGGGCAGTTACCAAACGCTTTCAAATGCTTAGAAATTGTTTCCGGGCACAGAATAAAAAAGAATCATTTCTGAGCAAAATCTGTTTCTGGGCACAGAATGATTGCCATACGCGGCCTAAATCACTAGAGGGTGGTGACCTTAGCCTTGCCCCACCAACCATGACAGGCTCGGACAGATGATACATCTAGGCTTAGAATCGTGTTCGCAGACTAACCAAGGTATCCTGCTACTGAGGATGGATCGTTGAACCAAACTCGTGACCTTTAGCTCAGAGACCACGGTGGTGTTCCTACACCGAGCTGCGAAGAGTGCCTGGGCAAGGGGGAAAGAAATTAAGGGGGCATGTTGTGATTTCGAATTTCGAATATGTATTTCAAATTATTCCAAACAAATTCATAGTATTTAGGTTGACTTTGATTTGTAACTTTTAATTCTACATTTTGGCATTGATATCTGAGTTTTATTAAATACTAAAACCGCGGAGCTTTAAACTCAAAGGCACGTACATGAATAATTAGGAAATATTATCAGAAAGTCATAAATTTACTGC